TTGTTAATCTATTATCCCCTCACTAGAATGTAAGTGATTTTAGGGACCGTTCTGTCCACTGTTATCACCTCGCAAATGGTAATCATTAATGAATCAATCAATTCAAATGAACAAATGGAAGACCTACCCAAAACCTACTTCTATTTCTAAGGAAATAGAGGTGAAACACTACATGACATGCACCTCAGTAACATCTTTAAAGATACATCAGTGGTATTGAAGGCTAAGTGGTAGTGAAGGCTAAGATAAACAGCTGGGACTACATCAAATTAAAGAGCTTCTGTATAGCATAAGAGACAGTAACTAAAACAAAGAGACACCCCACCAATTGGGAGAAAATTTTTGCACACAACACTAATAAAGGACTGATCACAAAAATCTACAAAGAGCTGATGAGACCCAACAAAAACAAAGTAAATAATCCAATCAAAAAATAGGCAGCTGAGCTAAAAAGAAACTTCTCCAAAGAGGAAATGCAAATGGTCAACAGGCATATGAAAAAATGTTCAACATCACTTGTAATCAGGGAAATGCAAATCAAAACCACAATGAGATACCATCTTACACAGTGAGAATGGCACATATTAAAAAAACCAACTACAACAAATTTTGGTGAGGATGTGGAGAAAAGGAACTCTCTTGCACTGCTGGTGGGAGTGCAAACTGGTCCAACCACTACAGAAAGCTGTGTGGAGATTCCTCAACCTGCTAAAGATGGAGCTTTCATATGATCCAGCAATTCCACTCCTAGGTATTTACCCAAAGGACACAGAATCATCAATTCAAAAGGGCACCTGCACCTCTATGCTTACAGCAGCACTACTTACAATAGCTAAGCCATAGAAACAACCCAAATGCCCAAAAATACATAACTGGATCAAGAAGATGTGGTACATATACACAATGGAATATTACTCAGCAATCAAAAAAGATAAACTCATGCAATTTGCGACAACATGGATGGAACTGGAAGGGATCATGCTCAGTAAAATAAGCCAGAAAGAAAAAGAAAAATACCAGATGGTCTTATTCATAGCAGGAATTTAGAAAACCTAAATAAGGGACCAGGAAAAAGGACTAATTATAATAAAGTAAAAATCAAAATCAACAAGCAACTATAAACCACAGACACACTACAGGGGGGTGGGGGAGTAGGATCAAAACAAGGGGGGGTGGGAATTGTATGGGGACTATAACTAAGATGAAAATACATTGTGCAAAAATGACAAATGATGTAAAAACTACATAAAATTAGAAAAATTAAAAACCTACTTCTATTTCTAGTAGAATAGAAAATCTACTAGAATTTCTGGATTCTTCTGGCAGAATGTCTTCCCCCCATGTATTCAATCTAGTAGGCAGGAAATCCATGCTCCTGCCTCCCTAATACACAAAGTAAGAGGTCCCCGGAGGCACCCAATCCTTCCACCTGTTCAGGGCCATCAAGAGGTGGATCTTATCACCTAAGCTTTGAGCATGGAATCCTCTATCCTGGGAATTGGACCCCTTAGTGAATGACAAAGGATAGGGTTGGTTTGCCATCCCTCAGTCCCTGTGATATCTTCCTGCTACCTGCTCACCTTGATGCCTTTCTTGTGGTTCCTTTGCCCTAGGAGCAAGCCTAATGGCCATCCATTTCCTTGCCTGGTTCCCCAGACATTCCATTAATTCTGCGAGAACCTAACATCCTTCCAACAAATTTCTTTAAGCTAATCAGAGTTAGTTTTTGTTGCTTCTCAATAAAAGAACACTAAAATCAAAATAAAACACTGTTACAGAAATAAACTGTTAACTGTTTGTATGTGTGGGGTTGAAGGAGAAAGTGTTTACAGTCTTACTGCCTTAATGACACAAGTTTTTTTGCCCCATTTTAATACATCCTTTTAAAAGTTTTTGACGGTATGTATACATGCTGTATATGGCTTCAGTCATTTACACGTCATTGCTTAAATTATGCCCTCCAAAATGATGCTGAAATCCTAACCCTCAGTACTGGTGAATGAGACCTTATTTGGAAATAAAGTTTTAGTGTATGATTAAGTAAAGATGAGGTCATTAGGGTGGGTCCTAATTCAATCTGACAGTGTGAACACCCTGTTAAAATGAAGGCAGAGGCAAGGGTAATACATCTACATGCCAAGACACAGGTTACCTGAGAAACCAGAACTAGAGAGAGGGTAGCAGTGATTCTCCCACGTGGCTCTGGGAAGCCATGCTGCCACCCTGATTTCAGCTACCAGCCTTCATAACTGACATAATAAGTTTCTGTTGGTTAAGATACCCAGTTTTGGCATTTTGTTTTGGCAACCTTAGCAAGACAAGCACATATGGCTTTATTTCCTCCTTTTATCTCACTTTAAAATTACAGCTATTTTTCATATTGCTACGTGGTTTTCCTAATTATGTTGTAAACTGTTTAGAAGTAGTCATTCATGTAACAATTCAACTTCCTATTTTATTACAACTGAACATTTACATTCCTCACCTTTTGTGTTATCAAAATAATATGAAGAACATTTTATACAGGTAGGTTTTTTCCTTTTAGATAATTTTCTCAAAATACATCACTAGAAGTTGAGGACAGGGTTAGAGAGGATGAACATGAGACACGGCTTAACTACTTTGCAAAAGGATGACAATAATTTACTTTGCCATCAGGGGAAAGAGTTTCGAATTTTGAATGGAAATTATGTTGACATGGTAAAGGGAAGGGAGAAAATTCTAGGCAAAGGAGTAAGATAACCAAAAACACAGGGAGTATGAAAGCATAGAGAGGACGGAGAGAATGAATGGTGAGCAAACATGAAAGAAAGAGGGAAAAGTAATCAAGATTTGCAGGAAAAAAAACTGTGCACCTCCTTAAGGAACTGCAACTTTATTCCAATGGTAATAGGGAAAGTTTGTAACATAAGACTTGAACATGATCAGTAACTGACAAAAGAATGCATGGAAGCCTGGCCTGCTGAAGTGACAGGCGCAAAGGTGAGACTAAAGGAACACACGAGAGCTAATGACTTGTGGGCCTCTGGGCAGTTTGATTCGGGGGTGTCCAGCCTGTTCAGCTGAACAGGCAAGAAATTTCCTCAAAGTCTGCTTGGCATCTAATTTTCCATTTTCTTCTCACCGCTTTGATGAAGAGTCTAACCTTGATTCCTAACATACGATGTGAGTTGGAAACCATGCCAACACTATTTGGAGTGCTAACAGTTCCTCCCCATTCTTCACTGTTCACCAACTCTCTGACCTTTCACTACCTGTGAGAACAACAATTTTTTCGTCAGAATCCATCAGCGACCTTGCCATCATTTTTGATGACCAACCACCATACTTTTTGAATATGTCTTTAAAAATTCCTCCCTTGACCAGGTGACTCTACACCACCTTGATCTCTTTCCCTTCTCCCGGCCATCTTTATTTCCCCTTCCTAGTCTCCCTGAAATGTAAGTATTCTCCAAGTGACACTATCCAACCCTTTCAAGACTTTTGAAACAAAATTATTATTATTTTTTTAAATAATAAATTTTATTTTTATATTCCCCATACAATTGCAGCCCCCCCATTCTGACCCCAATCCCTCCCCTCCCGCCCCTCACCCCCTAAAAAGTGTCTCTGGTTCATAGTTTTTTGTTGATTTTGATTTTCACTTTCTTATAGTTATTCATTTTCCTGGTCCCTTATTTAAGTTTTCTAGATTCCCGCTATGAGTGAGACCATCCGGTATTTTTCTTTTTCTTTTTGGCTTATTTCGCTGAGCATGATCCCTTCCAGCGCCATCCATGTTGCTGCAAATTGCATGTGTTTATCTTTTTTGAATGCTGAGTAATATTCCATGGTGTATATGTACCACATCTTCTTGATCCAGTCATCTATTTTTGGGCATTTGGGCTGTTTCCAAAGCTTAGCTATTGTAAATAGTGCTGCTATAAACATTGGGGTGCAGGTGTTCTTTGGAATGGATGTTTCTGTGTCCTTTGGGTAAAGACCTAGGAGTGGAATTGCTGGATCATATGGAAGCTCTATGTGAAACAAAATTATTTAAATCCCATCCATCCTTAATGCTTCAGTTACCACCTACACATGGAGAACTTGCCCGTACTGTCAGCTAGCAGCAGAGCAGGAACCAGAACTCAGAACCCAGACCTCTCAAGGCCCAGTTCATCTCTCTGTCACCACTCAATATTGATTTTAAACATAAGGCAGTAAATGCAGCAATTGAAGTTATAATCATCAGTAGTCTGCTACTTTTTAAAAGAGAATCATCATAGTTTTTAGATTAAAAATATGGGCCGAACTGAAATGCTATTTGATAGGTTTTATAGACTTAAATCCTATTTCTGCTATTTCTCAGGTGAGTGAATTAAGTTATTTCACCCATTTACATATGGGCTTTCTTATCTGTAACATGAGGAAAACAATAGTGTCCATCCGGTATATTGATAAGGCTGATGAGTTACTTCATCAGAGCACACAGGGTAGCATGACCACACACTAAGTGTTCAATTCACTTGTATTTTCATCCAGTGTATATGCTGGGCTGTGCTACTGCTGAGTGACACTGACAGGCAGAAGGGAAGACTTTCATTTTTAAGAACTTGTACTGACAGATTATTATCTACTACATTAAATAAACCTTCCTCTGGTGTTCAAAACCGTGTTGGTGAATACCCAGCAAGAACTTAGAAAACTTAAGGTAAATATCTGGACCTTGGGGCTTAGATGGATTTCACCTGCAGGACCTTAGGTACATGGACACCAAGAGAGGGACAAATTTCTCTTAGGGTCACTGGATACAGCGAAACAGCAACCTGGACAGTTGATGACAAGCCCATGCCTGCATGAGCTGCTACTGAGAAGAGCCTCCCTCATATTCAGGCAAACAGCACCACGATCAGAGACAAGCAGAAAGTTGCAAATCAACTGAAAACAGTTAAATGACTGACTCCACACCAGTCTATCAGAGGCCTCCCCCCACATCCCAACATGGAGTGTAGGAGACTCACTGTTGGATGCTCTCATTTGCCGTCGGCGTCCCACACGGTCCAGTCCAATAGGGGTGCTCTGGGAAAAGGTGAACGGCCGGAATCGGGCAGAAACAGCCTTGTAGGGCGGCACCTGGTGAGCTGGCACAGGTGGCCTGGCTGCCGGCTAAAAAAAGGAAAGCAAAAGGCTGTAAGAAGATGCCAGGAAGTGGCAGCCCTGCGAGCTCCTCACACATACAGCTATTAGGGGCTCGGCATTTTCACCTCAAAACCACTCACAGATGTGAACAGGTTTCTCCAAATCATGTCAAATGCTTCATGCTGTTATTCTAGAAATTTCAACTCACTGGCTCTTAGCTCATAACATAACATTTCAAGTTATTTGTCAGTGACACACACTGGAAGGTAACACCCAGTGAAAGAAAAGCATTGAAGAGGAAAAGCAAATTTAGCAAGTGGTGGATTTCTCACAAAGATGCGGGTCAGAAGGTTAAGAAGATGTGTTCCCAGCAGCAGCCTAGACAGGAATCAGTCAGTGCTAGGGGCCCTGCTGGACTCCAGCCTCCTTTGACTCATCCACAGGCAGGCATCAATTAGTATTTGTGGAATACGGTTCTTGTTCAGTTAAACTAACGTGACAATTGAGTTTTGCTGAAAAGAAGAGTTGGTTTTTCACAAATTTAAGTAGGTCTTTTTAGAGTCACCTATATGCTTTTTTGATTTTCCTTATGAACCATTCTTATAACTGCACTGAATGCCAAGTTGGTTCATGCTTTCCTTAGCTTTTCTTAGAATCTTCCTACCCAATTCCCTAAATTAGCTCACAGTGCAGAAAATTATCTTACTCTACTCCTTTTTGATGCTTTGAAATGAGATAAGGTGCTTTAGATCTTCCCTATACTGCTTTGAGTTAAAACAGTTACAGTTTGCTCTAGCTCAGCATTATTTCCTAGCAGGAAAATGCATCTTACAACAGAAAGTTCATGGCATTCTTCTGCTTTATTTGTTTTTACCTTAAAAATTCAACTTAATCGCAAGATATTCTTGAGCACTTGCTCTAAGCAAGGCAACAAGATGGACTTTATAGGGACAATGCAAACTTATAGTCCAATGACAATTCCCTTTCAAGAGTATTTTATGGGTTATTTATGGTATCAGCTAGCAAGTTTAAAAAATGGAAGTTGGGCTCTTTCTCATATACTATTTCTGTGAACATCTGAAGGTGGATGGGGTGTTAGCCTCCCCAAACATTACACACACCTTCTGAACACAACCTTTTTCTAAATATTTTGTATCCTCCAAGTGATCTCTGGGTACTTGGTAAATACTTGTTGAATTACTAAAAGGCACTGAAAGAATAATACTAAGACTTTAATCTATTGTCAAAGCAGTTGTAAAGCTTCAACTCGAAAAAAATGGTAGGAAAAAAACTATTTCCTTATCCCCTAAGAAGTGATTTCTACTTTATTTTCTTCTTACCAATACATTTTAACCATGATGACACTTTCAAGAATTCCTTCTTTCAAGAAGTTCACTAAATATGCGCTGTTACTTTCCCCCCATCTTCAAATCTCAGATGATTTAGAACAAACAGCAAACTAGTTACACACAATTCAAGATTTCAGGAAAGATAGAAGATTAGTAAAAGGCATCCAAATGTCAGACGGTTAGTTTTGATTCATGCATGTTTTCAAGCAAAGTCAAGAAGAAAGGCTCAGAGCAGAGCAGATGCGTCATCTTCGTCAGGGAAGAGAAAGGAAAGCAGCTTCCTGTTTAGTTTGCAGCAGGAGAACAAAGGCCAGGAAGCTGGAGGGCTGTTGGCTTGGGTAAAATCACCCCAGATCTTACTTGAGTCAGAAGAGTCTCTATTTCCTCTGTCTGGCTCTTTGCATAGAAGCTGACCCCGCCTATCACAGAGATGGGCCGTCTCCTCCGGCCTCCTTTGGGGTAGCCCCCGGCAGCACTCTGGTGTGCAGGGTCGGAAGAGGCCATGCTTGGCTGGTGGTCACCATCCACAATGTCTTCTTTCTGGGGGTCCACAGCAATTGAGTCTTCCGGAATAGATAAACTTCGGCTGACCAACTGGCCATAGTCAGAGAGTGGTCGAGGCCTTGACCTTCTTGCTGAACCCCATCTCCGCTTGGTGATCCTCTGAGCCTCAGCCCGATCTTCCTCCTGGGATGAGCTCCGCCTCCAGGATTCCTCAGTAACAACCTTTTCAAATGTGAACAAGTTAGGTGAGCACCAATACTCAGGCAGGTATTATAACGATTACAAATTCCCTCCTACTTCCTCAGCCCAGATTCAAGACTTTTTGATTCACTTATTTTAATGTTATTTGTATAACAGAAAGACATAATTGAAATATAGATTAGCAAGTAAATCTATCTTTAGTTGGAGATTGAATTAAGACCACAATTTAAATGGTGTTATTTGGTGGCCAGTGAGAAGTTCTGATAAGGGATTAAGAAAGTCAGCCCCATTGAGAGTTAATAAAAAGAACTTTTAGCTATGGTAGGTGTCACCAAAACCTACATAATAACAGTGGAAACGCAGGCCTGTCAGTAGAAAAAAATGAATGTGCAACGCTATACAATTCTACTTAAGGTGTTCCCTTTCAACAACGTTTAAAAATAGTAGGTGCTTTAAGAAGATTAAGTCTGGGTTGTTAGGGCCTAACAGAGACTCAAGTGAAGTCTGATGGGAAGAGAGAGAAAGAGCACTGAAGTGGGATTCAAAGAAGTAGCTCAGGTTACTAAGTGGCTGTATGAGCTTGGACAGTCTCAGCTAACCTTTCATGGTTTCAGAATCAACTATTCCACAGCACTTCTGAGAGTTTATGGTGCTAAAGTAGCTGCTTTTTATTTCTTTTTTAAAAATTTATATTTATTTATAGTACACTCTCAGGTGTAATCCCCATAAAATTACCACCATGGAGACACCATGGTGTCTAGACACACATTAGACACACATCCTGCCTAATGTCTAGGATTTATAGTTTGCCTGCTATTTTTGTCCTTTTTTTTCTTGCCCTTATTTTTTATTCCCTGTGATCCTCCTATAAGTGCAACCATCTGATATTTTTCTCTTTCCTTCAGACTTGTTTCATTGAGCACAGTCCCTTCCAGCTCCATCCATGTTGCTGCAAATGACATGAGTTTGATTGCTGAATAAGATGTGGTATATCTACACAATGGAATCTTTTTTATTTCTAAAAAAATTTTCAAAGGCAAGGCAATGTACTAGGAAAAAAACATGAGGTTTGAAATGGTGACAACTCTGTGTAAGTCTGCCTGGGCCACTAACAAGCTTTGTAACCACAAGCAGGTTACTTAACCTCTGAGCATTTGGTTCTGCAGCTGTTCACAGGGCAATAATGAATGGATCCTTAAGAGGATGAGACAATGGCAAGACAGTCCTTAGAAGTCACAGTTAATTATTGCCCTTAAAAACCACTGAAAACCATCCTTTGGAGATAACCCCTCTCTCAACAGTCCCCTTAAATCTGGGCCCCGAGGGCTGTTGCACAGATCTAAGGGAGGAAGCAAAGATAAGATGTTGCAGAGTATGTAACAGACACCAGTGGCTTGCTTGTGGGCCAGGCCTGGGTGCCTTCAATTCTTCTATCCTTATAGGTTATTTTTAAATAATATAAAAATAAAAACAGGAAGGGGCACAAAGAGAAGTATAATAACCAGAGAAGTCATGTGACTGCAGGGCAGACAGCAGGCCACCCTGGCCTGAATGAAGACAATCAGCGCAACTGATGCACCATTGTGTCCTTTGCCCATGAGAACAGGCCCAAGAAGCTGCTTCTTGCCAATTATTGGCACCCAAGACCTGAAATGCAGGCTCAGTAATTTCCAATCTGATGTGCCTACACTGTTCACTAAGACCATATACCATGCAAATTCTGATGAAGAGCAAAGGAAGCAAGAAGGGACTGACAGATTCTTCACCACCATTATTTTTCAAATTAGGAAAACCCGAGACCTACAAAAGTACAGTGTCATGGCCAATTAGCAACAGCAGAGACATTGAAATATGGGTCTAATTTCTGTACCACTATACCCCATTTTCCCATTATATTATCTCTGCTCAAAAGAAAATGGGTTCTAGCAATCACCACTTAACTTGCTATCTGCTGATAATTACTGTCTAGAACACTATAGTCAATGCAAGTCGTAATGGATCCATGATGTAGCGTTGTCGAATAAAAACTGTTTTGAGCTGAAGGTATTTAAGAATAGGCTTTTTTTTTTTTTTTTCTGAGCTCTCTTATCTACCTGAAAGCAGAGCCTCCCAAAGGAACTCCGTTGTCCAAAATCCCCTCTCTTGGGATAGGATTCTCTTTCTTCCAGCCAGTAAAGACTTAATAATCACTTGACAGGAGAAGCCTACACTTAAACAGACGTTATCACAAAAATGATGATCTCTCTCTCATCTATTTTGCTACAGACCCATTTATTTTTACTGAAAGTCACTTGTTTTCCCAGAAGTGTTCTTCTCTACCTCCCCGCCCCCAATTCTATTTTCTCTAGTCACACATTTTTTTTTTGTGAACTCCCATTTATTTACATGAATAAAAATCTGCCTGTTCTTACTAATACTTGTGTGTGTGTGTTTGTTTAATTCATACACCCCCAAGGAAAGAACGTAAGAGGGAGGAAGAAAGTTTTTCCTTTCTGATATCACCATGGGAAAATATGTGAGAAATTATGAAAAAGCCATGCATTACACATGAACAACAGATTATGAATGATTTTTCTAAATCAAATGGCCTTGAGCATACAAGAGCATACAATGAGAATAAATTCTTTATATTATTTCCTTGTGATTGAAAAAAGGTTCAGAAACAAAGGGCTAAAAAAACAGAAGAACAATGAAATTATAGGGAAAAAAATTACAGGCAATGAATACTCTGGTCACAAAACTAAGTACAGCTTTTTTTAAAAAATCTTTTTTGTACTTATGCAACATGCAATATGCCTTTCCTCACTGATGCCAAGAAGATAATAAGGAAATGAGTTTAAGAAAACAAGAAGTGTCTTAGTGGTTCAGGTAACAAATCCTTCTGAGCACTAAGCCACACTCCAGGAAGTGAGGAGGCAAAGGAGGTGCGCTCCCAGGAGGAATTCAGAGGGCAGGAGCCCAGAAGAGATAATTCAAGTCAGACATTACTCCTAAGGATCAGCTGCTGTCCCCTGCTGGAGCACGGTATTATAATAATAAGGTAAAAATCAAAATCAACAGGCAACTATAAACCAGAGACACACTACGGTGGGGAGAAGGGAATAGGATCAAAACAAGGGTGGTGGGAATTTTACGGGGACTCAAACCAAGATGAAAATGCATACATTGTGTAAAAAGGAAAAATGATGTAAAAAATATATAAAATAAAAAAGAATCAACTAAAACTATACTTGAAGTACAGATACAGTTCCACTAAAGATACAAAAGAAAATAACCGCTCTAAATGTTATTCAAAGTTCTAGAAAGTTGCAAAAATCAGTTACCAGAATTACACATAAAACTGAAATGTCCATTTTATTCCCAGCAAAAGCATAGAGGGAGGGAAACACATACAGGGTGAAAAATCCCTCCAATTTAAGGTCCCATTCAACCAGTGATCCTTAGTCAGAAAAGAGTTACATTGCTTATAAAACAAATTTGAATTTTGATTCATATTCTAGGGCTGAATCTTCTTTCAATTAGAAATACAAGCTAGGTTTATTCTAGGAATTGTAGTTTGATTGTGACTATATCTGGAACTATCAACACCCAAACACCAACAAACAGGCTATAACCTAATCCAGATTCTGCTACAGGCAGCAGTGGCCCACAGACACACAGAAGGAAAAGCAGTTGAACACATGATCTCTGCTGTCTTTAAGACACTATAATCAAGGTTAAGTGGCTATGTCACAGCTCTGCCTAGTCCAGTGTCTATTCAGATTCCAGCAGCCTGTACTTCAGATCCACCCAGGGCTCACTGAGCTTGAATAGCCAATTCACACCCATGTTATAAACTTCTGTAAACAGATTTCAGTGGAATGGCTTCTCTTTTAACTTGTATTTGTCAGTGTTGTTTCAAAGTATGTTACCTAGTCAGCAGTATCTTTATGGTTCCTCTGCAAGATTTCTTCTTTTATAAAAGTAAAAAGCCAAAACAGATCTTGTTACCGAGTTAGACACTTCAAAACATTTTTCAAAGCCACAATGGGAGTAAATGACTAACCAGATGGAAAATAAAATTACAGCACAATAAAAACCTGATTTCCTATGTATCTGTTCAGAAGTCTGATCTAAAATAAGCATATAGGGTAAAGTAACAATTGCAGTTTGAGTTTTGTTCCCTTAAATATTGAAGTCCTTAACCCCAGTGCTGGTGAATGTGAACCACCTGACTTAGAAATCCAGTTTTTGTGGATGTAATCAAATTAAGATGAGGTGATAGTCAAATAAGTGATACCTAAGGTAATGGCCAGCATCCATAGAAGAAGGGGGTGATCCGGTTACATATATAGACAATAAAAGGAAAGCCACGAGAGGACAGAGGCAAAGATGTAAGTGATAAGTGATAAGTGAGTGATAAGATAAGCACCAAGGTTTGCCACAACCCCCACCAGAACAGGAAGAGGGCAGAACAGATTCTCCCCTGTTGCCCCAAAGGGAGCCAGGCCTTGTTCACACCTTGATTACAGACATCTGGACTCTACAGCCATGAGAGAATAAATGTCTGGTATTTTAAGCCACCCACTTTGTGGTGACTTGTCACAGAAGTCCTAGAAAACTAATACAATTAGGTAATTTAGAAGAAAAATGTAATAGGGAAGGAAATGAAGATACTTTGCCTAGATTTAAGAGAAAAAAAACTAAAGCGAAAAGCATTACTTTGAACACACTAAAGGTATTCTCAAGATATATACTAAAACAATACATAAGTTTTCCAGGTTATTAGAGTCCTGGATACTGCAGGAAGTTCAGGTACAGTTACAGAGCTGAAGATGGGAACAATGAATGAGATAGAGGGCTGCAGTGATAATAGTAATGCAAGCTGTGATTTTTGAATGATGGGTCAGAACTACACCAGGCACAAGCTACCTTAATCTTCCCAGCCACTCTAGGAGGCAGGCACTATTTGTCATCTTTTACCAAAATAAGGTACTGTAGCTAAGATAAATAAAGTGACCTGCACATGTTAAAAAAGCCAG